ATGTCCAGAAACTTTGATATATAGTATTTCATTATAATCTGATTTAAATTGTTTTTAACTTTTCATTATATCTTTTGTCATCTATGGCCATGAGTGATTTTAAATTGCGTTTCTAAAATTGGCAAATTAAGGGGATACTGAAATTAACCTTTTGTCATTGATTTTTTAACTTAATTTCATCATGGTCAGAGAATATATCCTTGTCATACCGATTCTTTGAATTATTGGGACACTGTCTATGGACTAAGAAGTGGACAGATTTTCTAAATATTCCATGGGCTTGATGTGTTCTCTAATCATTGAGTGTAGGAGCCTACATATCTGTTACATCAAGCTAATTATTTGTGCTGCTTTAAGTCTTTTATAGCTTTACTAATTTTTTATTTACTTAATATATCAGTAATTGAGAAATGTACTTTGAAATCTCTGCTACTGAAGTGGGTTTTCATTCTTCCTGTACTTTTTCACTTTATATACTTTGAGGATTTGGGAGTGATTTTATTTATTTGAGAGAGAGAAAAAGAGAGCATGGGAGCAAAAGAGTACAAGAAGGGACAGCAGCAGAGGGAGGAGAAGCTGACCTCCTGCTGAGCATGGAGCCCAATGCTGAGCTCACTACCAGGGCCCTTAGATCATGACCTGAGCCAAAAGCAGCCACATAACTGACTGAGCCACCCAGGAACCCCTTACTTATTGTAGAGAGGGAAGGAGCACAAGTGGGGGTAGGGGCAGAGGGAGAGAATCTCAAGCATACTCCATGCTGAGCACAGAGTCTGACCCAGGGACCAATCTCATAACCCTGAGAACATGACGAGTTGAAACCAAGAGTTGGACACTCAACTGACTGAGCCACCCAGGCACCCCAGTTTAGAATTCTTATATCTGTTTAACAAATTAATCTGTTAATAATATAATGACCCCTTCTGTCCCTAATATTACTTCTTGGCTTATAGTTTCCTCTATATGACATTAACTTAGCTTAAGTAGTTTTATTTTTGTTAGTATTTGCTTTGTATACCCTTTTCTGTACTTTTAGTTTCAACTTTCCCATGTTCTTATATCTTAGGTTATGTCTCTTGTAAATAAAATTAAGCTGGATTTTTTTTTAAAGGCCCCATATATCAGTTTGTCATTCTTTTATTTGATGAATTTAGTCCATTTACATTTATTGCCATGATTTATATTTGGACTTGTACTTTCTGTTTTCTCTTTGTTTTGTTCTTCCACTCCATTCTCTTGTCCCCTGTTTGGCCTTACTTTGGATTGATTAAGATTTTATTATTTGTTCTTGAAGATTTCTTAGTCCTTTTTTTCCCCCCAGGTACTAGTTTGGAAGTTTCACATTTTATTTGTTTTTCGTGGTTTCCCTTGAATTTTATCATGCAACTTTAACCAACTGAGCCACCCAGGTGTCCATATCATTCATACTTGAAATAAAGGCTAGGTTTATGACTATCTCAGTATTCCCAAAACATTACAAAGATCTTAAACTAAATCCAGTCACTCCCATCTCACTTCACCAACTATTATTCTTCAATGTTTTATTTCTCTTTTTGTGTGTTCCCACAAAGCAATAAAAGATATTTTTGTTTTATGAAGAAATGTTATTTATATTTTACCAGTATTTTTTCTTTGTTATTATTTCTTCATATATTTCAGATCTTCACTGTGACCTCATTTTCCTTTTCTGTAACTATAGCTTTTAGTTTTGGAAGTTATTAAAGATGCCATGGTGGTAAACTTGGCTTATGTTTGGAAATAATTGTTATTTCTTATTTTTGAAAGACAGTTTTGCTTAGTAAATAATTTTAGGTTGGTTGGTATTTTGTTTCACCACTTTGTAAATATTGTTGTATTGTTTTCTGTTTTCCCTGGGCTGTTGAGAAATCTTCTTTTAGTCTAATTATTTAGTAAATTTGGTTTTTCTTTCGGGCTGCTTTAAGGATATGCTGTTCATTTTGGTGTTCTTGCTGTTTCAGTACCATGTGTCTAAATGTGCAGGTTTTTAAAAATTTTTCATCTTTCATAGTATAAGTTGTATTTCCTGTGACTGTGTCTTTTATTAGTTCTGGAAAATGTTCGACCATTATCTTCTTTTTCTATATATGATAAATATGCATACATCCACCATTATCTTTTAAAATATTGCTCCTCCATTTTCTCTGTTTTCCCTTCTGGAACCTCAGTAAGCTTATGTTGGACCTTTTCACTCATCTTTCATATCTTTTGTCATCTCTTTTATATTTTCCATCTCCTTTCCTTCTGTTCTTTGGGTCTAGGTAAGTTCTTCAGGTCTGTTTTTCACTAATTTTCCATTCCCCAAACTCTATTTCTGTAGCTTACCAAAATTTCCATGGTGTGTGACTGTGAGTCACCCATTCTTTCCCTGCCCTCAAACTCTTACTCTCTTCTTCACTTCCTTCTCTCGCCACCTCCAGAATCTCTTTCTCATTCCTAGATTTTTCTAGAGTTCAACTGAAATCTTTATTGATAGTCTATTTTTTTATCTTCTGTAGTTTTAAACCATTTTTATACTATTTGAACTTAGAACCTAATTTATCCTTTGCTTCCTTATCTTAAAGCTAAATAACACTGAATTCCTTATACCTTTCTTTTGATTTTGTTTTTCTTTTGACTACTTTGGTTGGTTTAACTTTTTCCATTTTCTTTTGTATTATCTCAAGCATCAAATTTTAAGAAGAGTGTAGTAGAGATATTACTACCTTGTCCTTAGATGTATTACACCTTCTAAGCTCACTGTATAGCAGCAACACTATTCATGTTTTATGTAGGAGACATTTAGGTTTCATTATCTTTTTAAAAGGTGTCCTTGATATAGTTGAAGACGTCAAAATCTTGGGCTTTTTTTGTTTTTCTTCCTTCCTTTCTTTCTTTTTTTCTTCCTGGTCTGTGTGTTTATATTGAGTTGCAGATGAGGTACAGATGAATTATGTGGGAAACTGGGTCCCAGATTAATGATAGGGCATAACTTGTCTCCATATATACCCCAAACTTGGAGATCTTTTATTTTTTTTTTAAACAACTTTTTGCCTGGGGAGCTTTGGGAGTATGCTGTCTTTTAGCACATTTGTTTGATCTTTGCCTTCATATGAAGTTACTACTAGTCTCACTTTGGTGGAGGTGAGGAATGCAGAGAAGCTGTTTACAACTATGCACGTAAAATAAGTATCTGTTGTCCGGAGACATGGAGAACACACAGAACAAAATATAAAATGGACTTTCAGAGAATACAGAATTAGACACACATCCACTAGGAAAGGGCTAGGCTTCTGAATGTGAAAACTTTTCTTTAATTGAGGTATAAATGACATACTAGTTTCAGATTTATAACATAATGATTTGATATTTGTATACAGTGTGAAAGAATCACCACAATAAGTCTAGTTAACACCCATCACCATACAGTTAGAAAATTTTTTTCTTGTGATGAGAACTTTTAAGATTTACTCATTCAGCAACTTTCAAGTATGCAAGACAGTATTATTAACTAGTCACCATGTTATATTACATATCTTTTATTTATTTTATAACCTAAAGTTTATACATTTTGACCCTCTTTACCTATTTTGCCTACCTCCCCCAACCCCTGCATCCAGCAACTACCAGATCTGGTCTGTCTGTGAGCTTGGCCTTTGTCTTTTTGTTTTTTAAATTCTACATATAAGCAAGATCATGCAGTATTTGTCTTTCTCTGTCTTACTTATTTCACATGGCATAATGTTTATAAGGTCCATCCATGTTGTTGAAAATAGCAAGATCTCATTTTTTAATGGCTGATTAATATTTTACACACACACAGACACCACATTTTCTTTAGTCATTTATCCACTGATGGACACTTGGGTTGTTTCTATGTCTTGGTTATTGTAAATAATACCACAGTGAACATGGGGGTACATACATATTTTTGAGTTGGTGGTTTTTGGGTTCTTTTTTTTTTTCATATAAAATACCCAGAAGTGGCACTGCTGAATCATTTGGTAGTTCTATTTTTAATTTTGGGGAGAACCTCCGTACTGTTTTTCATAGCAGATGTACCAGTTTACCTGGAATGTGAAAACTTTTAACTTTCAAGGGGACATAGATCAAGGGGACATAGATGTAACAAAGAACCTGAATACTTATGGGTATTATAAAGTTATTTGTGTGTGAATTATACATATTGTATTACAGATCTTTCTCGACTTTAGATGGGATTATTCTGATAAACCTATCGTAAGTTGAAAATATAAGTCGAACACCTCAAAACTATTGTAACACTGTATGTTAATTATACTGGAATTAAAATAAAAAGTTAAAAAATACCATAAGATATTTACTTTCTATACCAAAAAAGGGCAAATATCATAAGTCAAAATGCACTTAATATATCTAACATAAGAACATCATAGCTTATCCTGGCTCAGAACACTTCTGTTAGCCTGCAGGTGGGCAAAATGATCTACCACAAAGCCTAATTCATAATTAAGTATTGAGTATCTCATATAATTTATCGAATACTGAAACTGAAAACAGGATGGTTTTATGGGTACCGAAGGTTGTTAAGTGTATCATTTGTTTATCCCGTGATCACATGGCTGACTGGGAGCCACATCTCATTGCTTCTGCCCAGCATCACAAGAGAATACTGTATAATGTCTCACTAGCCTGGGAAAATACCAAATTCAAAATCTGAAGTACAGTTTCTACTAATTATCTCCTTTGCATCATTATGAAGTCAAAAAATTGTAAGTCAAACCAGTGTAAGTCCAGAACCATCTATGCACACAAATATACATGTATACACACATACATATACTCCTACACACAAATGTGATTTTTATATGTAGTTCTTTAAATTTTTACATCTCCATTTTATACGTATTATAAACTGATGTGGTCAATTGCACACTTAGGCCAGATTATTATAAAATATTATAGTAAGTAAGCATGCTAAATTTCTACTTATTCAGCTTATCTTTTATGTGATTTTATTTCAGTAGCCAAAGGTTACAAGGAAAAGCATTTTCAAATAAGAGAGTTTGAAGCACCTCAGTTTTCTCATTCTGAAAATGGTAAGAAATAGCAATTTCATTATATATATGGATAGTTTATTATTTTAAATTCTTTAGTTTTAATTTAATAATTATTTCCTTAACATTAAAACCTGTTTAGGTCTCTACACAGGGATGCAACCCTTTACTTCTATTTTATAGTACATATCAATGGAAATAAAGTCATTATTTGTTTTATATGTCTGAGCTCTTGTCCAAATGTATCTGTGTAACTGTGAGGACTGGGAGGACAGTGTCTGTCTCACTGCTGGTGTCCCTCTGTCATTCAGCAGTTGCAGACACTCTGTAAATACTACTTCGAATATCTTTATGTTGCACATATTTTTTTCCCACTATGTTACCTGTCATTTCTTTTCATGTAGTTGTTTCTTGCCATGAAAATTTAAAAAATAATTTTATGTAGTCAAATTTATTAATCTTTTATTAGATCTTGATTTTTGTCATATGTAAAACCCAAGTTAGAGTTTATTTATGCTGTCTTCTAGTATTTGTATACTTTTATTTTTTACATTTATATCTCTAATTCACTTAGAGCTTTTTTAGCCATATGGTACTAGCGATGGCTTAAATGTGATTGTTTTGCAGGTGGCCATCCTTTATCATTTTTTTGAAATGCTGTCTTTGCCATAGGAATTTGAGATAATTTCCAATCATATACTAGATTTCTGTATGTACTTGGGTCTGTTTCTGGACTCTCTTTATTTTTCCTTGATGTGTGCATGTACCAGTGCCACACTGTTTTAATTACAGAAACTTTCTTTTGTGTTTTTACATTTGATAGGGCTAGTATCCTTTTCATTATTTTCTTAGTTATTCTTTCATGTTTATTTTTCAATATAAGCTTTATATCATATTGTCTATCTCCATAAAAAGGCTCATTGTTCCTTTTATTGTGGTCACATTAAATGTGGAAAACTGACAGTTTGATAGTGCTTAGACATCCTACCCAGAAACAAAGGAGATTTTTCTATTTGTTGAAATTTCCTTGTGTATCTTTTATATGTTTTTTTTTTTCATATAGGATTTGAGCAGTTCTTATTATTTCTAAGTATTATATTTTTTGTTGCCATTATGAATGAGGTTTTCTTTTCATATGTATATTTATACTTTTCATATACATATATGTGTGTATATATGTGTTTTACATACATATATATGTGTAATATATATCTATTTTAAGTAATCTTTATGCCCAATATGGGGCTCTAACTCACGACCATGAGATCAAGAGTTGCATGTTGTGTACCAACTGAGCCAGACAGGTGCCCCTTTTCCATTATATTTTTAACTGGTTATTGTTTTGTGCACATAAATGCTATTAATTTTTTGCATGTTAATACTATATGCTGCTACCGTGCTGAAATTTTTAAATTTGGGTTAGTTTTATCATTGATTGTCTAGGGTTTTCCAGGTATACCAACATGTCGTTTGCAAACAGAGATAATCCTGTTCTTTCTTTACCAATTCTTTTTACTATAATTGATTTCTTTGGTTTAATTGCCTTGGTTACTACCTCCAGAATGATGTTAAATAGTGGTGAGCATTTCCTGATTTTAATGGGAGTTCCTGTAATGTTTCTGAATTAATTAGGATGTTAGCTTTTGATATGTGGTGTATGCTTTATGAAGTTAAAGAAGTATCCATACATTTCTAATTTCTTAAGAGTTCTTATGAGGAATTGTTGTTGAATTCTGACAACAGCTTTCTCAGTATCTATGCCAGTAATTATTTTCTTCTTTGATGTGTTAATATGATGAACTATATTAATAGGTTTCCTGATATTATACCATCCTTCATTCCAGTTATAAGTCCAGCTTTGTCATTGTGCATTAATTTGCTGATATTTTATTTACTGTTTGTATATTGCTGTTGATTTCTCTGTGAAAACATTTAGGCCTGGTACCTTTTTGTGTTTTCTTCTCTATGGAAATTGGTCTGTTTAACCTTTTCTTATGTACTGGGATCAATTTTAATAAGTTTTATTTTTCTCAAATTACTCATTTTGTCTAGATTGTCAGATTTATTTGCATAGACTTGTATAAAATCTCTTGATTATTTAACAGCTTTATGGAGATAATAAGTTTTTAAAAATTACCAGTTTTAAATGCAAAATTCAGTAATTTTTAGTAAATTTATAGAGTTATGCATCTATAATCACACTTAATATTAGAATATTTTTGAAAATTCTCTCATACTTGTTTACAATCCTCACTCTCAACTCTCAGGCCTAGGAGAATACTAATCTCTATAAATTTCCCTTTCCTAGACTAAAATTGTACAAAAGGTAGTCTTTTGTGTTTGGCTTTAGATGTATTCCATTAAGCCTAATGTTTTTCTAGATTCATCCATGTTGCATACAGCAGTAGTTCATTTACTTTTTTTTCTTAATTTTTAAATTATAAAATACACATAAAATTTTCCATCCTGTTTTAAGTGTACAATTCAGTGATATTACATACATAATATTATGCAAGCATCACCAACATTCAGCTCTATAACTCTTTTCATTATAAAACTGAAAGTCTGTATCCATTAAATGATAATTCCCCATCCCCCCACCTCTGCCCAGCCCGACACCCAACATTCTCCTTTCCGTCTGATTTTGACATTCCAAGTATGTCATGTACGTGGAATCATACAGTACTTGTCTTTTTCTGACTAGCTTATTTCACTTAGCATAATGTCCTCAAGGTTCATCCATATAGTGGTGTATTGCAGAATTTCCTTCCAAGACTGAATATTCCATTATATGTATATGCTGAATTTTGCGAACTCTGATTCCTTACTTTAAAAAAAAAAAAGATTTATTTTTTTATTGGACAGAGAGAGATCACAAGTAGGCAGAGCAGCAGGCAGAGAGGGGGGAAGCAGGCACCCCGCTGAGCAGAGAGCCCAATGCGGGGCTTCATCCTAGGACCCTGAGATCATGACCTGAGCCAATGACAGAGGCTTAACCCACTGAGCCACCCAGACGCCCCAATATTCCTTACTTTTTATTCATGATTGTATTCCATTGTATGGATATATTTATCCATTTACCAGTTGATGAACATTTGATTATTTACATTTTTTGGCTATTATAATATTGTTGCTATGATCATTCAAATACTTCTCTGAGTATGGACATAAGCTTTCATTTTTCTTTGTTAGATTCTTAGGAATGGAATTGCTAGGTTGTGTGGTAAGTTGAGTATATCTTTTTAAGGAACTGTCAAATTGTTTTTTTAAAATGGCTCTACTATTTCATTCCCACTAGCAAAGAATGAGGTATCTAGTTTTTCCACTTCTTTGTCAACATGTGTGTTGTCTCTTTAAAATGTACATTTTAGGGACGCCTGGGTGGCTCAGTTGGTTAAGCAGCTGCCTTTGGCTTAGGTCATGATCCCAGACTCCTGGGATCGAGTCCCACATCGGGCTTCTTGCTCAGCAGGGAGCCTGCTTCTCCCTCTGCCTCTGCCTGCCTCTCTGTCTGCCTGTGCTTGCTCGCTCTCTCTCCCTCTGTCCCTGACAAATAAATAAATAAAATCTTAAAAAAAAAAATAAAATGTACATTTTAGTACTTTTCATTTGTGGCTTTAATTTGCATTTCTCCGGTGATTTATGATGTTGAGTATCTTTTCCGTGTTTATTGGACATTCGTATATCTTCTTTGTTGACAAATCTATGAAGACCTATTTGCCTATTTTTATTTTTTTTATTAACATATAATGTATTATTAGCCCCAGGGCTATTTGCCTATTTTAAAATTGGGTTATTTACCTTATTATTAAGTTGCAAGATTTCTTTATTCTTGATGCAAATTCTTTGTCAGACATATGACTTGTAAATATTTTATCCTAGTCATCTTATTTTCTGAATTTTGCCTCTTAATGGGGCGCCTGGGTGGCTCAGTGGGTTAAGCCTCTGCCTTCAGCTCAGGTCATGATCTCAGGGTCCTGGGATCAAGTCCCACATCAGGCTCCCTGCTCAGTGGGGAGCCTGTTTCCCCGCCTCTGCCTACTTGTGATCTGTCAAATAAATAAATAATAAATCTTTAAGAAAAAAAAATTTTGCCTCTTAAAACACAAAATTTTAAAAATTTTACAAAGTTCAACTTACTCTTTTCCTTATGTGTTCTTTTGGTATCCTGTCTAGAAACTCTTCGTACCCAAAGTTACAAAGATCTTCTCTTACGTATTCTTCTTGAAGTTTTATAATTTTAGCTCTTAGTTGTAGGACTATGATCAATTTGAATTAATTGGTGTTTATGGTGTGAGGTATGTCTTTTAATTTTTGTATTTTGTTTACTGCATATGCACATCCAGTCGTTCCTGTACCATTTATTGCAAGGACATTTCTTACTCCATGGAATTTTCTTGGCATTTTTGTTAAAATCCAGTGACCAAAGAAAAAAAAAATAGGTTGTGTTTCTGGATTCTAGTTTCTGTTCCACTAATCTGTATATCTGTCCTTGACCAGAACCATATTGTCTTGATTATTGTGGTTTTATAGGAAATTTTTGAAATTTGGTGGTAGTAGTCCAATAGCATTGTTCTTTTTTCAAAATTGTTTTGGCTATTCTAACTCCTTTGCATTTCCATAAAAATTTTACAATCATCTTGTCAATCTCTATCCAAAAAAGCCTACTGGGATTTTGATAGGAATTATGTTGAATTCATACATGAATGAATTATGAATTATGTTGAATATGAATTATGTTGAATTCATTTGGAGTCAATTGCCAGCTGGACAATATTGATTCTTCCCATTTATGAATGGGGGGATTTTTTCTTTATCTTTGACTTTCAGTGATTTGCCTATGATGTATCTAGATATAGATCTCTTTATATTGATTCTGCATGGGTTTTATTAAGCTTGATGAATGAGTACATTAATGTTTTCAAGAAATTTGGGGAGTATTATCCATTTTTCCCCAAACTGCCCCATCCTTTTGTGACTCAAATCAGAGTCTCATCTTATGACTGTGGTCTTTTTATCTGGGTGGCAAATGGGAGCTTCCACCTCTTGACTGCACTGCCCACACTTAGCCAAGTAACTGAGAACAGGATATGAAATGCTGACATCCTACCCCTCCTAAGAACATAACTGGGGGGAGAAGGGAGCCTTATGTTTTTGGCCACACAGGTGTAGAGTAGAATTTCCATTGTGCTGAATTGGAAGGAGGGTAGGAAGGGAATGATTCTTAGTTCAAATACCATTAGAAGTCTTAGTCCAAGACTTCTAATAGATTGTCTTGAATAAATGTTTCCTCATGTGTGTCCTTGGAACAATTTCTAGAGACTAGACTATCCAATTAGAAATAATTTCTCATAAACTTCCAATCAGTTTAATTGTTCATTATAAATTATGTTAAAAAACTTTCAAAAATTATATTAATGTATGAGAACAATGGAACAAATTTGATTTGCCCTATGTTCTACTCTCATTTCCTCGAAAAGAAGCCTTCTGTTTTTATGTTCATTCAACAGTTGTAAAAGATTTCCCGATAGATTCACTGGAAGATGATTTTGAGAAGGAATTCTCATTTCTCAATAACCTCCTAAGTCCTGGTTCTTCAAATACTGGTGAATTTACCCCAGAATGCCAGACTGCCTTCGGGAGCCCTGGGGCCAGCTTCACGTCACGGGAGCCTGCTGTGGGGTCAGAGCCTCTTGCTCATTCCTCACGATTCCTTCCTTCACAGCTTTTTGACCTTGGCCTTCATGCTGCTGGAGCTTTTAACAGTAAGTGCCTATGAAACATTTAGACACTCATGACTTAATTTATATTTGTGAAGCAAAACTGTGTGTATGTAGATGCTAAAATCAACAAGGATATTGATTTAACTTTGGTATCACCAGGCAAAATCTGTGTCTCACCGATCAACTGCAAAAGTAACAAATATTACCATCGACAAAGGCAAAACAAGGGCTGCTTTCCTGCCACCTCTGTCAAACCCACTTTGTACACTGACTTTCTCCAGAGTCTTCTCTACATAGAAAATCCAGGTCTTATTTTAAACCCTTGACCTGCTAAGTTACTCTTGCCTAGGGCAGGTGTTACCGTTTCTTCCCTCTAGCAAATCTCGGTGTGTTCTCTCCGCATGGGTTCAGAGCAGACAAGGATAGTTCCACGGCAGCCTCCTGGGCAAGGGAGCAGGACTGGAGGATGGTGGCAGAAAGTGGGGCAGGGTATTTTTCTAAGGGTCACCTGCTTTGTTTCTATGTCAGGAACTCCCTCTACTGACCTACTGTCCTACCAGCCCGTGTCCAACCCAGCACCTTCAGAGTCCTTTTGCTCCCCACTTCCATATTGGTTGCTAAGTACTGCCAGTTCTGTTTCAAAAACATGTCTCCAGTTTCACATTCCTCTTCTCCATTTCTACTACCAGAGGCATTTAGAGCCTTATTTGGCTTCCTGGGCTGCTGCTAGAGTCCTCCTACCCGCTATCCAAATCCCAGGTCACCTACCAGGCTTCCCCCAGAGTTCATTCTCCAAGAGGCAGACACTGATGTCAGCACTCTGCTTACATTTTTTTAAAAAATGAAGAAACATGGGCTCCAGGATAAAACTTGTGCCTGTATGTCCACTCCTCTCTCTTAGCTTACATCAAAATACTTAGCCACTTTCTATAACTATATTGACTAATTTTCAGATCCCTCTGAAACATCATTTCTTGTGTTGCTGCTTTCGTTTATGGTGTTCAGTAATGTTGAGGTGTTGAGGTATTGAGCCTGTGTTGGATTCCCGGTCCAATGTTTTCTCTGTGGCAGCCAATAACTGCATATTTCTTCCGTATTGCCCGGTGTGTGCTTTCTCCCGCCGCTGGCCTCCCACAGTGCCCTGTTTTCATGGCTGTCATCATAGTTCATCTTGCCTTTTTCCCTGTCTTCCATCCCCGAGTAGATTTCATTCCTGAGGAAATGGTTCACAGCACCTAACAGTATCTTAATGCTTTGTACTTTTTATGAAAATACTCATGTTTAGGGGCGCCTGGGTGGCTCAGTCGGTTAAGCGGCTGCCTTTGGCTCGGGTCATGATCCCAGGGTCCTGGGATCAAGTCCTGTGTTGCGCTCCCTGCTCAGTGGGGAACTTGCTTCTCCCTCTCCCTCTGCCTGCTGCTCTGCTCCCTCGGCTTGTGGTCTCTCTTTCTGTCAAATAAAAAATTTTAAAAAATTAAAAAATAAATAAAATACTTATGTTCATCCTGTATCTGCAGGACCATCACATGTCATCCAATCTGTTAGCACCTCAAGGGCACAATCTGTGGGGTGATTTATCTTTGTGCTTTCCAGGACTTCAGCATAAAGTTAGCTCAATAAATAAAAAAGCAGTTCAGTAATCACTCTGTAAGAATTTGTTAAATAGCCTAAGAATAAGAATACAGTACCATTTGATAAAGAGGCACTCTATTGAGGATAATTCAAATGTTTTACTATAAAATTTTAGAAAACAGTTACTCTTATATGCCTTGTCAGTGGCCTAATAGTTACCCAGATTTACAAACAGATTCCTTCTCCACGTGAAATCCCTCTGCTCTCTCTCCTCGACTTGCCGCATCTCCAGCAGCACTGGATTTTTTTCTTCTTTTCTGGCTGTACATTATCAACGGTATTTGTTCACCACTCAGAGCCTCTGTTCTGGTCCCTGCCTACAGGCTGTCAGGATGTTCCCGAGCAATGGCCCAGGCAGTGGATACTCTGTTTAAACGGTGTCTTGCTTAAGACCCCCAGGCAGTAAACAATTAAGAGGAAACCAAAATCTGGTCTTCTGCCTCCTACTGCAGGATGCTTCCTACTTCACCAGCCTTTCCTTTATGACTTCTTACTCTACTGCAGTGTAAACCAGGAAAGTGAGCTACCTTGAGTTAAAATATCTGTGTTCTAGGAACTCTTAAGAACAAACTTGGGCTTTCCGTGATCTCTTCTGTTCAAGGAGGGTAGTAGGCAGGGTAATCTAGGTTCGTTTCTAGTGCTGTATTTTAATTATAGCCTAAATCATTTCTCACGTTATGGCAAACATTTCACTGTTTTAGTAATGGGTATTCATAATGATACTTTTTAATGACCGCATAATATCTTGTAACGTTTATCTCCCATAATTCCTTCCTTGCTGTTACGACTTTTTCATTTTATAGATAATGCCGTAATAAACATAACCATACATGTGCTTTTTCCCCTTCACTTAAATTATTTACTCAAGATAAATTTCTAGAACTGGGATTACTAAATCCGAGGATATAAACATACTTAAAGGTTTCAAGATTCTAATTGGCAGGTGTATTTCCTCTCTCCCAGCCCCTCAGAAATTCTCTTTCTGTGCCTCATCTATTTGCAGTTGTTTAAAAAGAAAACTTGTATTTCAAAACCACTTAGAAAACTGTAAGGAAGTCTAATTCTAGCTGGAACTAAACTTAGATGATTTGACTAAAATACATAATTGCAGATACATTTTAAGTGTCTCCTATGTCTTACATTGTAGAATCTCACCCTGATAGAAAGATTTGAGGACTCAGTAGATATTTTTACCTTTTCTTATTTTTTCTGATGCTGCTTCCTACTTGACTAACAACGGATAATTCCTTACTTCCCTCCCCTAGGCTGGGCCTCCCAAGAGGGATTAGAAGTTCCTCTTTCACACACTGATAACCAGCCAGTGCCTTCACAGAGTCCAAAGAAATCAACAAAGTGTAAGTGATATATTTATAGTCTTTGCCATTATATTAGCAATCGGTTGAATTTAGAAAAGGATCATTTTATAGCGTTTGCTTCGTAGCGTCCAGAAAAATATTTTGTTAATAATAAAATGCAAGTTATAGGGGCACTTGGTTGGCTCAGTTGGTTGAGCGTCCCAACTCTTGATTTGGGCTCAGGTCGTGATCTCGGGGCTGTGAGGCTCCGCGGCGGAGTCTGCGAAGTTCTCTCTCTTCCTCTCCTTTTCCTCCCCTACTCGTGCACACAAGTTCTCTCTCTGTCTCTCAGCTGAATGCATGGGGACGGCGGGGTGGCTCAGTCGGTCACGCTCCTGCCTTTGGCTCAGGTCGTGACCCCAGCGGGATCAAGCACCGCTTCCGGCTCCTTGCTCGGCCGGCAGCCTGCTTCTCCCTCTGCCCGCCACTCCCCCTGCTTGTGCTCTCTTCCTGACAGATAAATAAATAACATCTTCTTAAAAAATAATAAATAAATAAATAAAATCTTTAAATAAATAAATAAAATGTAAGCTATACCTGGCTATCCCTCATCATGGAAAAAATTGAATAGAACGTGTGGGCTTGGCATAGTAAACTAAATTGTGTACTTTAATTTTTTGCATTTTGTGTTGAGGTTTGTTGGTAAGCGGTGACAGCATTAGAGACAGAAGGTGTTCTTTGAGTACAAGATGCCGAGTGACAAACAGTGCATTCAGGCATTCAGCACAGGGCCTGGCACACGCTCATCGCTGACGCTGACTGAGAACTCCCCACGGTGTCGCCTGCAGAGCTGATCCATGTTGTAATTACCGTGTGGGGTGCGCAGAGAAAACAGACGCTCTGTCAGGATTTTAGGTGTGTAATGATCTTAGTCACTGCTGCTGATTTTTAAAAATTTTAACTGGAAATAATTTCAAATGTACAGATGTGTTGCATAAGTGAAAGTAGCACGGAGAATCCCTGCGTACCCTTATGAGGTTCATCTGCTGTTAGTATTTCGCTGGCGTAGCCGTGTGTCTGTTATTCTCTTCTGCACCACTCAAGGGTGAGTTACATGCATCATGACTCTCTACCCCCAAAGTACTTCGGTGTACATTTCCTGAGGACTGGTACGCGCTCTCGCATAACCACAGTACGGTTGTAAATGTCAGGAAATGTAATAGTAATAACATAACACTCCCCGTAACCGATCACGTGTCTGTATTCCGGCTTGGTGAGCTGCCGCTGTCACGTCCCCTGCAGCACTTTCTCCGTCTGGAAGCGAGTCTAGGTTCAGATGCCCACTTGTCCGGTCTCTCTGGCCTCTTTTAACCGGAAACGTTTCCACAGCTTTCCTTCACGGTTAAGTTCAGGTTCTTCATTCTTGCCTGGAGGACAGCCCTGGCGGCGCCCCTCTCAGCTGATGTTGTCCGTTTCTCCCTCGCCGGCGAGACTAATGGTGAGCGCCCGTCCAAAGAGTTGTCCCGTTTTCCTCCTAAATATTTCCCACTTTGTGCTGCTTTATCCTCTCTGCAGTCACTGAGCGGTCCGCTGAGGGGACACTCTGGGCCCAAGTCCGGCTCGGCGTCACAATCGCTACTTCGATTTAGCGTCCAGCGTTGCTTTTGGCCTGATTCAGTCTTCACTATGACGGGCGGTAAAAAAATGATGATTTTCTAACCACAGCACTCCCTCCGCATTTTTATGATCGTAGAAAACACAGAACCACCGTAACCATTTGTAGGTGAACAGTTCAATAATGTTCAGTCTGTGCATAGTGTGGTGGGGCGATCTCCAGAGCTTTTTCATTTTGCAGATCTGAAACTTTAGATCCGAACCACAAATCCCCTTTCCTGTGCTGCTGACCACCATTAGAGTTTGTTTCTATGAACGGGACTGCCCGGGGCACCTCACCCAGTGTTTGCCTTCCCAGGACTGGCTCATTTCATTTAGTCTAATGTCCTCACAGTTCACCCATGTTGTAGCATGTGACAGGATTTTCTCCCTTTTAAGGTTTAATATTCCTTTATATGGATATATTAATTTTTTAAAATCTTAGCTATTTGATCATAATTTTAAATAGTCTTAATGGCATATAATTCACTTGCCATACAGTTCACTGCTTCTGCCCGCCCTCAGTACTCTGCTACAAACAACCTCTCTTCTTCCTCATTTAGGTACTACCCATATGGACTAACTTTTTTTTTTTTTTAAAGATTCTATTTATTTATTTCTCAGAGTGAGCACAGGCAGACAGAGTGGCAGGCAGAGGCAGAGGGAGAAGCAGGCTCCCCGCTGAGCAAGGAGCCCGATGCGGGACTTGATCCGAGGATGCCGGGATCACGACCTGAGCCGAAGGCAGCCGCCCAACCAACTGAGCCACCCAGGCGTCCCTGGAGTAACATTTTTTGAAAAGAATTTATTTGACAGAGCACAAGCAGGGGAAGCAGCAGAGGGAGAGGGAGAAGCAGGCTCCCCACTGAAGAGGGACCCCAATGTGGGAACTGATCCCAGGACCCTGGGATCATGATATGAGCCGAAGGTAGCTGCTTAACTGACTGAGCCACCCAGGTGCCCCTATATGGATTCATATTTTTTAGTGGTTTATGATATTGTATCAATATTTTTAAATTTTCAAACCTACAGAAAGGCTTGTGATTGTAATAAAAAATATTCCTGACAATTCACCAAGATTTTCCAAAATGTGAATCGTATTTCTTATTCCGTGTGTGTATAATATATATAATTTCTTCTGAACTGAAATATTCAGAGACTAGAAAGTACCAGACATAATACTCCTTTAAGCCTAAATACTTCATTATCTTTTTCCTAAAAATAAGGATATTCTTTTACATAATTGCAATTCAGTTATCAAAATCAGGAAATTAACATCATACTGTTATTATCTAATTTATAGACCTTATTCAGATTTGCCAATTGTCCCACTAATGTTTTGTTTTCTTTAAAGATTTTATTCATTTATTTGCAAGAGAGCATGAGCGGGGTGAGGGACAGAGGGAGAAGCGACTTCTTGCTGAGCAGGGAGCTAGACGCAGGGCTTGATTCTGAGACTCCCGTATCACGACTTGAGTCAAAGGCAGGCATTTAACCCACTGAGCCACCCAGGTGCTCCTGTGCTTTTTTATAACAAAAGAGAAAGAGGTTTTCCCGACCCTGTGCAGGATCCAATCCAGGATCTGACACTGCATTTAGTGTCAAGTCTCTTTAATTGCTTTTAATCTGGGACAGTTCCTTAATCTTTGTCATTCATCATCCTGACTTCCCTAGAGCATAGAGGTCATTTATTTTGTAGAATATTCTTCAAGTTTGGTTTATCTGATTTTTTTTTTTTCGTAATTAGATTCAGGTTAGGGATTTTGGCGGGACTAGCCCAACAAGAGTGATGTTGTGCCTTTTTATTTTTTTTAAGATTTTATTTATTTATTTGACAGAGGGAGAGAGATCAGAAGTAGGCAGAGAGGCAGGCAGAGAGAGAGGAGGAAGCAGGCTCCCTGCCGAGCAGAGAGCTCGATGCGGGGCTCGATCCCAAGACACCAGGATCATGACCTGAGCCGAAGGCAGAGGCTTTAACCCACTGAGCCACCCAGGCGCCCTGGTTACTTTCACTTTTGAACCTTACCTGAGAGACTTATATAAATTATCTGTGTTTATAAGACTATTACTGCCTGCCTGCCTATTTTTAATCATTTCTCAGAGCAACATAAAATTACTTACATAGAAAGGACTCAGCAGACCACAAGGTACCTGCATTATTAGCTTTTCAAAATTATCAAGGAAGGACGCCTGCGCAGCTCAGTCAGTAAAGCGTCAGCCTGGGCTCAGGTCGTGATTCCCGGGTCCAGGGAGTCGTTTCCGCCTCTCACTGTGCCCCTCCCCTGCCCCCACTTGGGCTCACTCGCTCTCCAATGAGTAAAATCTCATAAATAAATAAAAATAAAAGCTAGCATCTTAAGAGAACAAAGTAGAAGTATATGGCATTAAAAAAAAAATAAAATCACGTAAATGGTATAGCAATGTGATTTTAAACACCTGAGACCCTTAAATGTGTTTTTTCTTCTTTAGCTGCCAACAGTGGCAACCAAGACATGTCAGCCTGGTTCAGTCTCTTTGCAGACTTGGATCCGCTTGCGGACCCTGATGCTATCGGACACTCAGATGATGAACTTCTCAATGCTTGACTGAAACTATGTCGCCACTTCCGTGGCCTCGAGACATCAATTTTCAACATATTGCCTTTGTGGAAAGGAGTTTATATTGTAACCCATACACAAAAGCACCGTGTTTGTGAACCTAACAGTTTTCAGCCAACTTTAAAGAGATGGTAAGGACTCTTACCGATTAAGTGTTTCTTTAATATCTTGGATTTGCAGCTGTTGATAATATGTGAAAAATATTATGAGCCATTGAGTCTAAAAGAGATACCAAAATTTATTTCAAAATAATAGCTAGGAATACTTCTGTAAATAAGGAATTGGGCTTATTTGGAAAGCCGTATGTGTGTAAGTTGCCTTGCTGGCTGTGAGAATTCTGTTATGTGGATGAAGACAGCATGTAAATTGGGTTGTGATTTGGGGGTGGTTTTTAAATAAAACCATAGCAGGGGGAGTTTTCTGCTGTGGAAAGTAGCACTAGAACCAGAACAGTTTTGTCTTTAGTTAGAAAAGTGGAGTAAGATTTGAGAACTCCGTTCGCTTTAATGAAATCAGAGAAACTTGGTGCTTTTCTCCACTTGGAGGCTAAAATGTAATATTACTTAGTTTTTTTTTCCTTCATAGAAAATCATGGACACCCCTCAATTCCATTACTGAATTTTCATGGCAAAGTAGCAGGATGATGTCTTTGCTAAATCTATCTTCTGCAGAAACTCATAAACCCATCTCCTAATCCCAAGAATGGCCAGTAATATTCAAGACATTGTACAGGTGTCCTCAGCCTGGTTTCTCACACGTTGCTACCACAATGTAAAGTACTCACATTCTTTCTGAAAAGAAAGCAAGGGAAGGACGATCCCTAAGCAACTGGCAATAGTATTCCTGAAATTACCCAGAAACTTCTATCTGAATGAGGGAACATTTCTAAGCTTATTCTTGTACTTATTTGTGTACTTATTACCTATTTCTTGACATGATTTAATCCAGATTTCTTTTCTGGCAGTCACAGAAGGCTCTACATGATCAGAAAGGGTCTTATTTTTCCACTTTTCCCTTTCTGTGGGTGACACCTTCTGAGGCTCTATTTGATTACTGAGGAAAAATGGTTACCCTTACTGGAGGGAAGTTAGTCTAAGCCAGTGAACTCATAGCCGCTGGATATACATCTCACTTAATTTCCTGTTCTTTTTTCTTGCCCAGCCTTCGGCTTTGAGGCAGTTCTCCAGGTGTCTTATTTTTATCTTCCAGTCCATTACATCTCCATAAGGGAACATTTTAACTAAAGTGTTCACAATAGTTTCCATGTGCTCCTAGTTTTAAACAAACAGGCTTATTTATTGTTTACAAGAGAATGGCTTGTAATGTCCCAAGTCACTGTAAATAGAACATTGTTTGGAAATGCACCAGAGAGGGGAAAATGCAGTCCACCTCCAAGCACAGTGCTCTGGGCGAGAGCTACACCCGGAGTTGCCCCGAGCCCTGTAGGAGGTCACTCGTGTGGGGCAGCATCGCATAGGCTGGAAAGACCTTATCTGAGGATCAGAAACACAGATAAAGAAAAGGTTATGTAGTCTTTTCATGCTTATTCTTATTCCCTTGTTTGGTTATCCTTTCAGTCAGAAGCATTTTTTACCTCTTCCTTTTTGTTCAGTGAAGTTCTCCAGAAGATTCAGTCACCAAGGGCTGTGATCACAATCACAATCTAAATTCTGTACCTATGGTGAGTCTGTACTGTCAACTTTGAACACTTCAAAAATAATGCTAACTTTGGATCTCGAGTTTGCGGCATTTTTCTTTCACTAATACATTAGTTCAAAAATATTTGTGTATCTCCTTCACATGCATGCAAAGCAGTCCCTGTTCTCTCAAATAAACAAAGACACCTGAACACCGAGGAAAACCACTTTCCAAGCCAGAATCCCTACCAGTGTATTCACGCTGCACTCAATTTCCAAAGAAAAAAGTCCTCAAAAAAGAAATAGAAATACACAATAGATTTTTATTATTCAGTTTAGATTCTCTTAACATTTTTTTCTCTCGGAGTATGTAGCTGCCCATTTGATCCAAAAGCAACATTAACTGAGCAAGTTCAGTTATAATTTCAACAAATCAAACAACCCCATTTTTGAAGAGCACATTGAAAACTGTTGTGAAAATGAAGGTAACCATATTTTTTAAAGATAAATTATTTGAAGTTCAGTTATCTAGAGGCCAGAAACAGAAATCTGGCTATATTATACCTAGACTGTTAATATAAAGGAAACAAACCACCTATTCAGTAGGGAGTGAAGGAAAGACACGAGAAACAGAGTAGAAGGGTGATTGCTTGCTATTTGTTTAAATCTAGATCAAACATTCAGTAAGAAATAGCCTTAACCGAAGGTAGGCTGAGAACTCTTTCAAAGTAAATGGATGTTTTTATATTAAATGGGGGAAAATAATATCTCCTCCTTTTTATTACCAAATTAAGAATGCACGTAAGCTCAGAAAAGCCCCAGAAGAACTAAAATTTGTCTAATCTTTCTTACGACCACTTTACAAGTGAGACGGGAATACCAGGGCATATTAAGATGAGATCGGTGTAACTTTGTATTTTTTGAAACGTTTCATTACTTGTAAAACATAGCTCTGATATGGTTAGAAACGAACTGTATTTAAAAAAAAAAATAGGCTTCAGTATTTGCACAATGAAATTCAGTGTTTGTATTTCAACGATGGATATTTATTTCACATAACTATCTTTATAGACCATCTGGAAATGCAGAGGTCTTACAGCATAAGAACAAAGGAAGTTTGTGCTCTATTTTCCTGAGCCTCTTTTAATAAAGATTACAAGATGGCATAAGACAAAAAAAGTTGATTTCCTAAAGTATTCAATACAAATCAATTATTGTTAACCTATTAGAAAATTCGGGTTTTACCTCAGTACCATAGTATTTAAAAGGTAGTTTGAATTGATACAGATAACACAGAATGAAAATAAAACCAAGGCAATGAATATCTTTGTGAGACTCATTCTTTTTAACTTCATACAGAAGGGATAAGATATGATAAATAACAGAATGTGCTCTTTGTGTAAATATACTCAGTAACAAAATACAAACCATCAATATTAAAATTTTGAGCCTAGAAACAATAACCAATGAAATATAAGCACAGTATGTATGTATGTATGTATGTATGTATTTATTTATTTTTAAAGCACAGTATTTAACCTGATTTGCTGAAGGCAGGAATAAAAAGAAGCCAGAATCAATCCAGTTTATATCTTCTTCCATAGTATTGTCAGGCCCTGTGTTTTCTTACCTTGAGCAATGAAGCAACCCCAGAATCTTGGGATACTGAAAATAAGCTAGGAAGGAAATACACAATTTAAATATTAATTCAGCAGTATTGAAAGTAATGCACATAAAACATACAATGGTAAGGTATTTAAATATGGCAATAAAAACCTATTGAACAGGATGGGTCACATTAATTTGCCAACCATAAAATATCTCCTTTTTTATGTGTCATTTAGAAAGACTTTTAAAAAGTTGAATTAAAAACTGTCCTTGGCATTTAAAGTTTAAACATGGTTCTTCATTCAGTGGTATAAGGAACCAATCAATGTCCAAAGAATAAATACAAAAAGATCCAGGTGGTATTAATAGGTAAGATTTTGAAGTGCATGTTTTTACATTAAAGGAAAAGAGCTTCCTTTTCCCCATATCAAGGTAATACCCTCTCATTTAAGAAAAATCATTCACAACCCTACCATCCAGGATAACCGCTATTAACATTATATACTTAATTTAGAGTGCCTTTGGCCTCACATATAAATTAAATTGATCCAGGTGATTCTGTCTTCTGAAATGAGCATGCCAAATTAAGATTAAAAAATTTCTTTTGACCAGATCCATCTATATACTCCTGTAAGAGGCTCATTTCTGACTGAAAGACACCTACATTTTGAAAGTGAGGGGATGGAGAAACATTTATCATGCAAATGAATGTCAAAAGAAAGCTGGGATAGCAATACTATATATAGACTTTTTTTTTTAAGTTAATTTATTTACGTAATCTCTATACCCAACATGGGGCTTGAGCTCATGACCCCAAGATCGAGAGTCACTTGTTCTTCTGACGGAGCCAGCCAGGAACCCCCTGGCAAACTATACTTTCAGACAGACTGTAACGAGACCAAGAAAGAGACTATATAATAATAAAGGGGAGAATCCAACAAGAAGATAGAACAATTTCAGGGGTGCTTGGGTGGCTCTGTCAGTTAGGCATCTGCCTTTGGCTCGGGTCATGGTCTCAGGGTCCTGGGATCGAGCTCCACGTCAGGCTCCCTGCTGCTCAGCAGGGGAGTCTGCTTTTCCCTCTGCCCGTCCCCCTGCTTAAGCACTCTCTCCTGCTCTCTCTCAAATAAAATCTTAAAAAAAAGAACAATTGTAAATATTTCTGCACCCAGTATTCACACAAATACATAAAACAGTTAACAAACGGACAGTAATATAATAGCAGCAATACAGTAGTAACATTTCAACACCACTCAAGTGGATGGATGGAGCATCCAAATGGAAAGTCGAGTAAACAGTGGCTTTGAACGGACACACTAGACCAGGTGGATTTTAGACATTCAGAACAGTTCATACCGAAGAGAAGAGCACACATTCTTTTCTCAAGTGCACATGGAACATTCTCCAGAACAGATCACATGTTAGGCCACAAAGTAAGTCTCAACAAATTCAAAAAAATTAGTCCTACCATGCATCTTTTCTGACCACATGCTATGAAATCAACCACAAGAAAAATACGGAAAGAGCACAAACACATGGATATTAAATAACGTGCTACTAGCACAATGCATGGGTCAACCAGGAAGTCAAAGAAAAAAATAAAAAATTGCATGGAAACAAATGAAAATGAAAACAAAAAATCTTTGGGATGCACCAAAATTGGCTCTAAAAGGGAGGTTTAGAGCAATACAGGCCTACCTCAAGAAGCAAGAAAAATCTCAAAATGCCCTAACCTTCCTCCTC